CCCCCCCCCATCACAGCGCCCCACCCAATGCTTAATTTGTAATGGAAGAGGTGCCAGAGCTCACGCAGTTTTTTTACATTCCGACCGGATGCAGCAAGCCCAGCGGTACCAGGGCTATGACCTGTCCCACCCCGAGCCAACCCCGCAAACCAGCGTCCCCCATGACAGCCTTCCTCCTTCACAGCGCCCCCGGCCGCACCCCGAGCTCCCCCACCACGGCCCCGGCGTCCCCGGAAACCACCTGCCCCCCAACACAGCCGCGCGCCCCTCCGCCACAGCCCCCCAACAACGTCCCTCCCCCCGGGCCACTTCCTCCTGCAACTCCTCCCGTCCCCTCGCAGAGCCGGGGCCTTGCTCGCTCCGGCCGCGTCGCAGCTATGGCAACCCCCGCGGCCTAGCCCGGCCTACGGAAACGGAAGCCGGGGCCGGGGCCCTGTCACTCAGGGCAGCCGGGAGCGGTGGGGTGGGGTTGGTTTGAACCGTTGGCTGCTTAGCCTGGTTCCTAGGCTGGCAGCGCTCTTGGCCTCTCCGGGGCAGGGGGTGCCAGGCCTAGCAGTGCCAGGGGGAGGGACGCTCCGTCCCCACTGAGCGGGGGGTGCTGAGCAGGGGCCCCTCCAGCCCGAGACACCCCCCCCGACCAGCATAGGGACCCCCCAGACCAGGCCTTGTGCTCCCCTCTTCCCCTCCTGTTGCAGCAGCTCCCTGAGCTCCCCCGTTGGGTGCTGTGCAAGCTGTGGGAGCCCCCGGTGAGACCCCCAGAGTGCGGGGCAGCTGTGCCCAAGCCTCGACGTCGTGGACCGCGAGGTAAATGGCGCTGCGTGGTCATGGCCCAGCTCATGGATTGAGGGGCGTGATGGAGGGAAATTGCCTTCCCCCCCCGTGCGAAATCCCAGCAGCGGGGTGCGAAGGTGGTTAAAGCTCTCGAAATCGTGGGGGAAATCCCATGTCATCACACGGTACCTGATGCAAACTGTAGAAAAAATAAATCCGAGAGGAGAGGGGGAGAAATAGCATCGCTCCTTTCCTTGCTGCCACCTTCCCTGGTTGGGTATGGCGGCTTGTTCGCAAAATTCTTAGCAGCGGGCAGGAAGGTGGGAACAGGTTGCTAGAAGATGTCACTTTGCTTAAGTGGTCGTGCAAACTGGAGATGTATGGAAGAGATAGCAAAGGAAACATGTTCCGGTGGCTGGAAAGTTGACGGGCTGAGTAAGATACGTATAGTGATATATCTGTCCAACTGCTAACAAGGGTTGGGAACCTGTTTAGTATGAGGCAAATAGCGCAGCATTGTAATATATGTAGTATAATGATACTTAAATCACAGAACATATAGATGAGGAAGTGAGGGCAACCTACCCTTGGATGGAAAATTATTGAATGATGAGTAACGCAAAGGGTCTCACATATCACTGACGGGTGGTTTGCGGGGCTGGCCCGGGATGGGACAGTTCATAGCCCTGGTACCTCTGGGCTTGCTGCATCCGGACGGAATGTAAAAAAATTGCTTGAGCTCTGGCACCTCTTTCATTACAAATTGGAATTGTTTATATATAGTGATTTTATTTGTGTAATTTCTAGTGGGAACAGCAAACCATGGACTACTTGTAAAGCATTGTAATTAGCATAATCTTGCAGTGTAATGAAGAAAATTTTTATTATTTTAAAATTTAGGTAGAAATTAATGATAACAGGAACCCTTGGCTCACTGCATTTCCAAATTTCAGTTCGGTTTAATACCAATACCAACATTAGTATATGCATTTACAAATTTCAGTTCAGCACAAATGGAACACCAGATTAGAATATTACATGATAGTATATGTTCCATAAAAATAGTTGAAGGAAAAGAAGAGGGAGGAAAAATACATTTTCCTCTTGATATGGAGTGTTATTGAATGTTAGAGCGGGGAGATAGATGGTATGTGAGGGAGGAGACTTTCCCTCTCAGCTGAAGATGTAAACAGGTAAATAGTGTATTGGATTGTAAAACCCTGATCCTCCAAAGATATCTGTGCATGTACTTAAGTTTATTCACTGTCAATGGACCCAAAGGCTAGTGGGACTTGGTGTGTCTAATGTTAAGTGCGTACAAAGGCCTCAATTCTACAAACACCTACATTTAGCAATGATCATGCTAACTGCAGCCTAAAATATATAGAGAAAGTGTAAAATGCAATCTCCTAAATGGGAAACTAATGAATTTATAAATCATGGGATAGATAATTTGGAGGAAAGACATTTGTATGGCTCTCTCCAAACCCTGTAGTAAATCACTGTTTTTAAAAATGTACAACTGAGTGTTGTATTTTAGCTGTATCTTCTGTTCCCAAATAACTTTTTATCAAAATATTATTTGTAATATTGTTCTTCCTGCTTTCCACATTGTTTTCATTTGTAAGTGGTATCTTGTCACTGACTTCCAAGCAGGAAAAGCTATTTTTGGATGAATATTAGCTTGTTTAATAGCTTTTAGGGAGTAATAAGATGGGTTTATTTATGACCTGTATCTTGCCAAATGCTTTTTTTATGTGTGGTTATTGTTCTCCCTCCAATAAGCATTCCAAAATCAAACAAGCATATTGTTTGAGAAACTTATCCTGAGTGTTAGCTCTTTGCAAAGATCTGCTATTTTGTTTGTGTGTGAGTGTGAATGAATTTAATGCTAATGAAATAGCCATATTGTTGTTTGTTTTTTTTAGATAGCTCAAAAAGTGAGTATTTGCATTTAGACATTAAGTAGATTAATATTAATCTATAGAACAATGAGATTTTATATAATTTCTCTATTTCAATTTAAATTTTGCAGGTTGGCTGTTAAGTGCACAATGAGTAGTGAAGAGGAAACATGGGAGAAGTTGGATGCGGAATTTGATCACTATGTTGTAGATATGAAGCCGTTTGTGCTAAAATTACCACATAAATCAGGTAAACTGTGCTACGAATTTGCATGTAAATAAACATAACAATCAGAAATACTCTAGTTTTACTACAGACTCTTGGTATATTATGAATCTCGAGTGTAAAATAGTAACATCTGTATGCATTTATAATGCATTCTGCTAAATAACAAATTAAGTACCACAAACCTAATGTTGCAGAGTGCATCATCATATGTGCACAACTTTTAAAGTTGATTTTTAGGTTATCTTTTAAGCACCTTTTGTTAATACTGTTTATTCAAGCTCATCCTTCTTATTTTGATGACGTAAATGTACTTTTGCATAAATATATTAATTCCTGTATTTTCCAATTAATGAATTCAGTGGAAATTAAAACTAAAATAGGCTTTGTCTTGGAGATTATGCCATTTATAAAATTGCAAGCATTTTTTTAGAGACCAATCTGTCAAGATACAATTATGTTCGTAAAAGAAATAAATCCGGTGCTGGAACTTTTTAAACTAATAGTACAAGTATCAGCTAAGGAGTGATGTTTTATGAGCTAAGTGATTACTTTCTTTTAATAATATAAAGTTCATTTCTAATCTTCATATTAAGGGCGTGATTCTCCAAACCTTTGTTTGCACTAATAGTTCTAAATCCCACAGGTGGTCTTGTCTTCCATGGAAGGATTTGTTTGAGTAAGGCTACTGTCTCAGGCCTTTAAATTGGATGATAAAATATTAATGCTCATGCAAAACTGTATTTTGCAACTGATGGCATGATTCTGAAGGCACTGACAGTCCTCAGCTCGCATTGAGTTTAATAGAAGTTGAGGATGCTCAGTACCTTGCAGGATCTGACATGATCAGAAGTAGGTTTTCATAGCATTTCAAAATAATAATGCTGTAATCAGATTACTTTCAATACAACAATTTTTATTTTACCTCTGAAGCAGACATTAGAGGAATATTCTTCTCTGGAATTGAGACTGACTAATACTCAAAATTGTTTATATAATAGTAGAACCCTGTAAACTAAGCATAAATATGAATCTGCAGAAATTAGTTCTGGAATGGGTCTCTTTTTGTCCATTTGAAAATTAAATTGTTACCATGGATCCACCATTATCTCATGTTCTGAGTCTGTCACACACTTTTCCTTTTAGGTGAAGGGCTGTTTTTATGGTTTGTCCTGAAAAGGCTAATGAAAGCAGAACTCTTCTGGACAGTCCTGAGGGAAAATATTGTTCCTACTAGGGTTTGATAGTATGTATTAATAATCTCTTAAATAATTTCTTATCTTCAGCAATCAGTAAAGGGTGCTAGGAGCCTTCTTCTCCAGCTTTGCCCTCACAGGCTGCTTTGGTTGATATCAGTTTTCCCTATTGCTTAATCTAGGACAGTGGTGGGAGAAGTCTTGGTTGAAGCTACCTAACAGTCATAAAGAATTTTGTGAATTCTTACACTTTTTTTGTTTTGTTTGTTTTTAGTTTTGGGTGATATTCATCTTAGTTAAACAAGCTGGCTTCATGTCTTGGCTGATTTGAGTATCTGTGCAAAGAAACTTCTGATTACAGAAAAAATGAGTGGATTTTGGGATGGGGGCTGGAGGGAATGAATGATAAATTTTATGTGGCTGAGTTTAGGTCAATGATGTTTCATAGATGTTTAAAGCCAGAAGGGACTACTGTGTTATGCAGGTCAGACTGGATGATCACAAGCCATATGACGTCCCTGTATTAACTCTTGATTCAAGTCCAATAGCCATGCTTGAACTAGAATCTTTTAGAAAAATATCCAATCTTGATTTAAAACTTTCCAGTGTTGGAGAATCCACCACAGCACTTGGGAAGTTGCTTCAATGATTAAGTATCTTCACTGTTAAAATTTTATGCTTTATTTCTAGTCTGAATGTGTCTAGCTTCTTCCAGCCATTGGCCATACCTTTGTCTGCTAGATTGAAGAGCCCATTACATTTCTTTTTGATAAGCTAAATAGGTTGAGCTTGTTGAGTCTCTCACTATAAGGCTTTTCTCTGAACCCTCTCCAATTTATCAACACCCTTCTTGAATTGTGGACACCAGAACTGGATCCAGTATTCCAGTAGCAGGTGCAATAGTGCCAAATACAGAGATAATATAACCTCACCACTCCTACTCAATATTCCCTTGCTTATACATTGAAAGATTACATTACCCCTTTTGGCCACAATGTTGTGCTGGGAACTGATGTTTAGCTGATTATCCACCATGACCCAAGTCTTTTTCAGTCACTGCTTCCTGGATAGCATCTCCTATCCTGTAAGAATAGCTTACATTCTTTGTTCTCAGATGTGACCTTACATTTGGCCATTTATTGAGATACTAAAGGTGTTGGGAGAACTTTTTGCTTTGGCTCCTTGTTCCTGACTGGCAAATGTCATCAGGGAAGAACTAAGCTCATTGTTGGTAGAGGGAGGGCACGGTGCCATCTTCTCTTAAGGAGGTTAGTCTAGTCTTGGCTCAAGAAAGCAACGTTTGATCCTTGCAGTCTGGTTATCATTTAGTACTGTATTTAATCTTCCATATTTGGTAGTTTATGGGAAGAGCTGTGATAATCCAGAAGCATCAGATTTCCTTGACACTTGTCATCCTTGTACAGTTCCGGGAACAGGACAGGAATTGCGCTGGTAGAAGATAACCTCTTAGTGATGGATGAAGACCGAGTGTGTGTGTGTGTGTGTATGTTGATACTGCTGGATGATTCAGTTGTCCTCAATTGTGAGCTGGTTTTGGTTTTCCTATGGCTTGCACTGGGAGAATGCAAGGCTGCTTTTGGGTGAATCCATTTCTTCCTTGCTGGCCACCTTGAGAGAGTTGTGTTGGAAAATTGTTCCTCATACCTAAAACATGCTATTATATAGCGTTTCACAGAGTTCAGTCTTTTCTCCTTTCATGTTTAGCATGTACTTGGGGACATTGGGAGGGTATGGCTTGCAGCACTTTCAGTAGACTGCTGATACTTAACTTTACTTCTCTATTGTACATAAACCAGCTAGTGCTGCCAAACACTTGGCTCAGTGTCTCACTTGGATGAGTTGAGGGCATTGAGTTTCAACCAGCTAGTTGTCATCCATCTGGATAAGACTGAGGTGCTACTGGTAATGTTGGGGATAAGCAACTAGAAAGTATGGTGAAGATTATATTTGTTGAGGATATGTGCCTGCTATTTGTAGCTAGAGTTTGCACGTTTGGGCTGTTGTTGGGTAGCAAGCTGATGTTAGAATATCACAAACCACAGTGTTGAGGAGGGTTTTAACTCATGTATGCCTGACTAGGAGACTGAGACTCTCTTTTGGATGTGAACCTTACTACTTTGATCATAGAAAGTTTAGATTACTGCAGTGTGCATGGGACTGTACTCTAGGTCAACTCAGAAATTGAAGCTGGTTCAGAAAGCAAGATAAACTACTAAGTGATATAGTTCTCTGGGAGTACATAACACTAGTTGTCCATGATCTAACTGCACAGGTTGTCTATAAGTTTCCAAATTGAATTTAAAGTATATGTTTTGAGCTGTATAGCATGGAAGTATTTCTATGGCACTCTTCTTAAAGTTAGTATGGAATTCAATTTTCTTTTTCTGTGATATTCTAGTGGATAATTTTTTTTTCCATTTGTGTTTTGTTTGACCTGAAGTTCCTTTCCATGAAAAATATACACATCCTTGTAAAATTTCATGTTCTATCTTAAAACTTCCTTTGTGCAAAACTTAAATTCTTGGTTGAAGAGAGAGATGTCTACAAAGTTATGCTGTGGTTCTTTCATAACTTCTGCTGTTCTTAAGTTTGTTCTGTTTTCTAAGAAAGTCTATTGTAATGGAATGTATTTTTCTAGAACGTCAGAGATGTGCGCTCTGGATTAAAAAACTCTGCGAGCCCTCAGGAGCAGGTGCAGGAATTATGGGTAGAAAGAATCGGAACTTGTATGCAAAATTGTTGCTGCATATGCTGAAACGAGGAATTCTAGAAGGCCCTTTTACACATAAACCCGAACCTGGAATACTGAAAACCTTGCCGTCATATATGGTGGGTATTCATTTCATTTTTATGGAGAACAAACTTGAGTAGTTCATAAACGTAGTTTAAAAATTATATGTTTAAGTATTCACTTTTGGTTACAGACGGAATCAAATTCTGCAGTGATTTCAGTGGAATTGCAAGGAGTGAATGTTGGCCTACAACTTGTACCATGGTTCCATTTGTAACTGGAGTTGGCAAACAGATTTCTAGGTCTTTGTGAATTTTTTGTGTGACCTGTTTTGTTTTCTTCTTCAAATAAAATAGAAGTTCAGAAAGTGTGGAAACATGCCTTTTTGATGATATCTGATTAGTTGTTAACTGATATTTACAGATAACTTAAAATATATTTAAAGGAACATAGTCGATATTTTCAAAGCTAGACTTAAACTTCAAATTGGTATTGTGAAAGGAAAGAGAGTCTTGTGCTTGAAGCTTAGGGCTGGTGTATTCCTGGCTTTGTTACAGACTTAGATGGGTAAATCAATTAAATACTCTACATGTATGTTTAAAAAAAAGTGTACATGGGGATAATGGCTCACATGGGCATTGTGAAGGGTAGGGCCAGACTTTTAGAAATTCTGATCATTCTGCTGCTCCCATTGACTTCAGCACTTCTGAAAATCAGTTCTTTAATTTATTAGTATTGTAAAATGCATTTAGCTTTTTGGATGAAAGACATTACTCAGTGGTATTGCTACCCAATTTTTGGTTTTGAAGGGTTCTTTGAATTTTATATATGTTTGGATTAAACAATAATAAATTGATTATTAGATTGAAAAAATATTGATTATTTTCTATACTAAACTAACCATCTCTGATCTCTTAGGCCATCAAAAGTATTTTTTTCCCCTGTTTGTTCTTTCCTCTTCCCTCCCCAACTTTAATGCCAAAAACTTAAAACAATTAATGTTTCAAAACAATGTTCTCTCTGCGTGTTGAGGATGGCTTCATGATGAGCAGGGCCCCAAGGTAATGGGGATGCTGGGGTTGAAGTATTGGGCTGTGAATCTTACTATTGGAAGAGGCAACTGGGTCTGGATCATAAGGTGCTGGATTAGTGCAGGAAGGTTGGTCCCTAACTGGTCCCTAACATGGTATGTAGCTAAGCCAGATCCCGCTCTTCAGAGCTAGTTAGCAATTTATGACACTGTTCATAGAACAGTTTTGTTAGCTATCAGTATCAATAATACAGGCTGTGCAAAGATGTTCTGTGGTAATAAGTGCTATGTAAACTTACGACTATTTTCCCTTATATCCAGGACTCAATATTCTTGGCCCCCTATTTTAAGCATGCATTCATTGAACTTATTGGCAAACTCCCTTTGACTTTACTGGGAATGGAATTGCATTCTTTATGCTGCTACCAAACCAGCAAGCAAGTGATGATGATGATAAAGAAGGGTGCATATATTCCTGGTTTTTTGTTGTTGTTTTTTTGTCTAGATCTTACAATGTTAATCTTTCTGACTAACTGGATCTTTAATTTTTTTAAAATATAGTCAATCTATTTTGATGAACCAAATTCAACGAGAGCACAGAGTGGTAGCCCAGAAGCTTTACCTGACTGGGTCATGGGAGAACTAGGAACAAGTGAATCGAAATTGGAGGAATCATGGAAATTCTCTTCTAGAGAGGAGTCAGCTTTGGTAGCATCACCACTTGCACACAGGTAAGAATTCAAAATCTGATCTATAAATAATGCTTATTAACATGTGGAATTGGACATAATCTTACTATAAAGTGCTAGTTTTTTGTGTATAATAACAATATGTTAAAAAAAGTTAAGGTTGCAAAGTCAATCACTCAAAAGTTTGGAAATGTCAGAATTAAGGTTGCCTGTACAATGTTAATTTGGCCCTTTGTGAGTAAGCACCATGATAGTCTTTAATTACATGATCACAAACTATTTCCCCTCCTCCACTGTTACAATTCAATCTTCCTGCCCTCTCCTCTCTCCCACTCTGGCTTCTGCAATCCTCCCTCTCCTTCCCCTCCCTTCGCCAGGTATTCAAATCACTCTGTTTCCTCTTCCTCCTTGTACCCTGAGCATTGAGAAGCACAGGAGAGAGTCTCCTTGTTTTCAGTTCCTTTGCCTGGCTTCACTGTGGTTTCTACAGCCAAGAAGAGCAATTGCAGGGAAAAGCCTGCCCTCTGCAGGAGCCCCCTGACTCGGAGCATGCTCAGTGCAGACTCTTAGGAAATTTAGCAGCCAAACTCTAACAAGTCTCTACTGAGCATGTGCAAACTGAAACGTTTGAGAAGCTTATAATTTGGCTATATTTGGGCAGTTTGATGGAGATCACAGAGATGGCAAAGGTACATCCCTCACACCAGTGTGTCCTCTCTGCCAATTTTAAGTCCCTGATCCAAAGCATGGAGGTGCTAGAACTTCTCAGCAAAATGATTTCAGGTCGGCAAAATAATTTATTTTTCCTAATCTTGCTCTGAGAAACAGTTGAACGGTTTTTGCTGAAGTAAAAAAAAAACAAAAAACCCAACATTCAACCTGAAGCTGACAGCCAGCAAGGAAAATTTCAGCCTGAATGGTTAACATTTTTTATAAGCAACTGAAAGCAGGGTCTTATAATAGAAAGTGTTGGTCAACCTTAACTATAGGTGGAGGTTGACTAGTTGATTTCTGCAGGAAACTTTTTAATATAATCAGTTTAGGAGCTTTGGGAACAGCTCGCTGAATTACAGTCAGGTCTCCAGATCGACACTTGGAGTTGCTGAGAGTATTGATCAGCTATCAGATCTCTGAGTGCCTAACCTGACTTTCCTTAATGAACTAAATATAAAACTTACATTCCTCTTTTAGCAAATTGGTTACCTTGGCAAATGTGATGTTTTGACTAGAAATGCCTTTTGGATTTGTTTTATTGATACAGTCTTTGTTAGAAAAATATATTTACTTAAATTTCCCTTATATTTAATTCATGCATGTAAGGAAGCATGCTATTCTGGGCTGTATTCTTCTTCAAACTGCAAATTCTTCTGCAGTCTTCCCTAAATCTGTAGCTCTTCCTCTAACCATACATATGAGGATGAGGTAATATTTGAGATGTCAACTGGTGTAGTTTTATCTCCTCCAGTTGATCCAGCACAAATTAATAAATATAAAACCCGCTAAACAAACAGAAAAGTGCACAAGAAACTTTTATTTCACATGTGTATTTTTATAGTGAATAATTTATTGCAAATTGGAACTGAAGTTTAATGCTGTCTCATAAATTTTACAACCACTTCTACTTGTCCTTTGAAAAACCTCTTTTAATCTTAGTGTGTTTTTGATCACTTTATAAAATCTTCCTTTACTTAGACCTTTTTGTATGTGAGGCATTTCTAATGACATTTTAGATTATGCTGTTTGTGTGCTAGCCCTTTTTTATTTTTTATTATTAAAGATGCAGTCTTTTTGAAGTCTTTTTCTTGGGGCTCTGTTAAGCACTCTTTCGTGTATAAATCCTGTGTTAGAGTTTAGAACATCCTCCTGTGTTCTGCTAGCAGACATTTTCTATCAGTGCAGTAGTTCAAAGGTGGCTATGCTCTGATAGCAAAGATTGGCCACAATTTTCAAGTCTGGATACTTACAGTTAGGAGTGAAATCCTGACTCCATTGACTTCTGTGGATGTTTTGCCATTGATTTCAGTAGGGCCATGATTTCACACTAGATACCCAATTTTCAGAGGCATTGAGCACACACATTGTTTATATTTAGATGATTAACTGTTGATTTAGGTGCTCAGTGTTACTGTAGGCACAACCAAATTTGACATTTTTGCTATAAGATTTCAATATTATACCTCTCATTCATTTGCACACCACTGAGCCTTTGGTTTTTAAATCCACTATTTTTCTCTCATCTTACCCAAATGTTTTTGCCTGTGGAGGCTACTTTTTTTTAATCCAGGCACAATTTGATAGGTGAGGAGTAAAACTTTCAAAAGTCTTATTGAAAGTCTATAGAAAAGTAAACATGATTTTTGGCTCCTATGTCAGTCACTTAGGACTAAACATTTTACCAGATGGCTTCACTTCCTTCTAACGGTGACTTAAAATTCGGGAATGTCTTAATGTCCATTAAACCTGAGATAACACATACATCACATTTGATACTCTTAGTTGGTCTTTCGGTTGCCTTCACTCATGCTCACTGATATGGACTTCTTATCTTGAGTGTAGATGCCAAGCATAGATGTAGAATATCAGTAGTTGCCATGAGAGTCCCAGCCCTACCATGTTACTCTTCTAGGTTTTGTCATACATCTTGACACTTCTTCCCAAAAAGAAATGTCTAAATAGTAAAGGAAAATAAAATACATATGGCTTGATTAACCTTTTAGGCTTGGCCACCCTTGAATATGGGGTGGTGTGTAGCTGTGCCACCCTAAAAATAGAACCAGAAAGGCTTTGTGCTTTAGAGATGCCTCTCTGAGACACGATTCCTCTTTAGCTCCCTTTTTATTCTGAGAGTGGGGTTGAATAGGGGTTGAAATATGTTGCATTAGCACTGTACAAGATGCAGCATACTCCTCCCCTCTTGCATCCAACCAACTCTGGTAGTCAATGTGTAAGGGATGTGGGCTGGAGCCATACCTCCATCTACTATCAGCCCTCCTTTTCCCCCCCCCTCCTTTTCTCTTTCCTCTGACTTGCTTGCAGGGAGGAATATCAGGGAGCACAACCCCTTCTCTCTACCCATATCTGGACCCAAGGTCCAGATAGGTCCTATGCAACTGCACGGGGATGTGTGGTGGTGGAGAGTCGTTACCTCATTTTACTCTCCTGTGTTCTACATAACACTAAGATATTTTTCTAGACCATAGTTGGCAGCTGTTGTGACTACTAAGAAGACAGATGTTGGATCTGGTACCTGAGAATCCCTCTAAAGTTCCATACAGTCTGTTAAGTGATTGTAAAAATGACATCCCCTTACTCATTAGATCTGGTCTCTGTGTGTATTCAGATATCTGCTTGCTTGCTTACTTACTTACTATATCTGCTTACTTTAGAGGGGGGAAACCTTTTTACTACTGTTATCCCTGCAGAATCAACCCAGTTCAGGCAGTCTGAAACTGTTGCTTTTTATGACTTGCACATCAGCAGAAGAATTGTTAACTAAATTCTACGTGCCAGGCTATCTGCACAGATTATGCATCTAGTTACGCCTGTGCAACCACAGGGAACAGAGTTGCACAGATGACACTGAGGAGTGGGGAGGTGTGAAAGGTCTAGATTGGATATTAGGAAATACTATTTCACTAGGAGAGTGGTGAAGCACTGGAATGGGTTACCTAAGGAGGTGGTGGAATCTCCATCCTTAGAGGTTTTTAAGGCCTGGCTTGACAAAGCCCTGCCTGGGATGATTATGTTGGGGTTAGTCCTGCTTTGAGCAGGGGATTGGACTAGAACCTCCTGATGTCTCTTCCAACCCTAATCTTCTATGATTTTATGATATCCTCCGAGGACAACAGGGTTGCATGGATGTAACTAAAGAGCAGCATTTGGTGTTGGAATCTTTATAGCAAGTGAAGATACATGATGCAATAAGAGCATAACATAATTTTCAGATCTCAGTCTGTGTTTGACATGATGGTAAATAAATAAGCCTCATTCTACTTCTAAATTGAGCAAATTCAATATTAAAATTGTGACAGTAAATGTGGAACTCCATTATGACATTTTTTTCAAAGCCACTTTTCAGAGTAGAATTGCACTTTCATAGAAGATTAGGGTTAGAAGAGACATCTAGTCCAAACCTCTGCGTAAAGCAGGATCAACCCCAACTAAATTACCCCTACCCTCCAGCCTATCTACCTCTCCTTCCAGCTTAGTGTCATCTGCAAACTTGCTGAGGGTGAAATCCATCCCATCATTCAGATCATTAATGAAGATGTAGAACAAAACCAGCCCCATGACCAACCACTGGGGCAATCCGCTTGATACCGGCTGCCAACTAGACATCGAGCTGTTGATCACTACCCGTTGAGCCCGACGATCTAGCCAGCTTTCTATCCACCTGGTAGGCTATTCATTCAGACTATACTTCAAAAGCTTTGCTAAAGTCAAGGTATATCACGTCCATCGCTTTCCCCATATCCACAGAGCCAGTTATCTTGTCATAGAAGGCAATCAGGTTGGTCAGGCGCCCTTTGTGAATCCATGTTGACTGTTCCTGATCACCTTCCCCTCTTCCAAGTGCTTTAAATACATGTTGTCCTGTAAAGCATGATCATGGACGATGTTCTTTGGCAGTGTAGCATTAGTCTGCAGCTAGTGGCTAGCGGGCAATCAAAAGCACAAGATACTCACTTCTAGAAGTGGGTACTCATTCAAAGAACACATCTATTTTGTGTGGGGGGAAAACTTTAATTTGTGCATTAAATTTTTGAAGAGGAATAAAAATGGAGGAGAAAACTTGGGTTACTTTTACACTTGGCAGTTCTTCTGAGTTACGTGTTAAATTCATAAAGAGAGAGTTTCCACTTCACATAAACTGAATACAAAAGAGAAAATATTTAAAATATTTGAGCTATGCAAGGGGTAAGGAAGGGCCAAATGGAGCTTTGTTATCTGTAAAAAGAAACAATATTTCATGGGAACAGTTGATGTAAAATGTGTCTTTATTACTTTGTTAGCTCTTTGGGGCAGGGATCATGTCTTCCTTT